GTGCATTGCAGTGCGAGTAATTAGAGAAGCCCCGGGTTCATTAGGATATCTGGTCGTATCTTGGCGACAGTTTCCGCCACGCGACCAACCGACCGACGGTAGTAATGCCCGTAGTAATTCAATGTGGAAATCAGATGAACATATTCAAATTTCAAATTTTAGAGAAGCAATCGTCAAAAATACTAGAATTAAACATGCCATTTTATAAAAGAACAAATAATAATAACAATATATTCTTTGTATCATAAAATAAATGTACGAGCAAAATGAACTGCGATATCGTTAGAGTCCAAGTTTCATAGAAAATCAATATCTCGTCAGATATTCATATTTTAATTAGATAAAACCAAATTATTATCACGTATACGTAATAATAAATTGTGTCTTTGAGTCGACAGATGTTTATTTTTGATTAAATTGTTACCTGACACGGCCTGAAAAATGCGTACGGCCTCACGGATTGTCTCCTTCGTGAACAAAAAATACGATAAATTCATTATAAACGATCGCAGATTAATAGTCGGTACTGTAAGTAACTCGTTCATCGGATAAAGTCGGCTGGTTCTTCCGGCATGCCTAACCGTCAATTATCCCGCATAGCGAGAGAACGGGCCCTTCGGGAAACGCGACGCGGCCGGTTGGTTGCAGCCCCGCGGATGCATTTCCGCGTACTTCGCGAATGAGCGAGCGCGATGGTGGTCGGCCGACATCTGGCCGACGTGGCCGGGGCAATTCGTGAAATTCGTCGTTACACGGTGCACAGATTACGCGCGGTTTAGCCGAGCCGCCGGAAACGGTTTACACATTGTACACGGAAGCAATTATCGCAAGCGCACGCCGCAGTAATCGAGTCGGGCGACGCGCCGACGTGCTTTAATTACCCGACAGCTTTGCCCATTCTCTCTACGGCTAGCTCGGGATTTTTCCATACGTCTAATAGATACGTAAATCGCAAAAGTGTATTGCTTGATAATGCATTACGTAATAATTACAGTTAATAATAATTACAGTTAATAAAACAGAACGCGATATTTGTTCCTTATGTGAGGAACATCGAGAAGAAATGGACTTGAAATTTTCGCAAACATCAAAAAAAAAAATATTGATTGATAATAAATTAAATTCCTAATTAAAATGAAAATTATAATGAATTATTTTAATAAAATAAATCGAATTTCTAATACAGTTACGAACAATTCAAGATTCTATAAAAATTATTACAATCGAGTCTCTCTTGAGGCGATCGTATACATCGTTATTTTCCGCTTATTTTCAAATTACGCAACGATCGTTTCCATATTATTTTGTGCTAATGCCAAAGCGCCTTATGGAGATCTCCAATCTCAATATCGATCAACCGAAGTAAAGTACTTTTTCAATCTATCCAAATCGATCAAGGTTCGAGCCGTCATGCGGATCCATCCATCTGTCTATCTCTCGTCTCCGCTCGGTCAGCGTTCCAGCGCTTCGGTATCCCATGATTTCCATGTGATATCCACGCGTGTTACGTGCCAGATCCCACGCACGGCCTCGTCTCCGTCGAGGGCAATACACCGAGTGAACCTAACGAGATTTCAATAGCCCGATCCTTGCTGTCGGTTACCGCAAATAGGCTCGATCCTGCGGTAACGTCTAGCGAGCGATGAATGCTAAGCACAGAAATGCGGAACCGCTCCACGGCGAGAGAGATAATATGTGGTAAATAGAAGAATGTTATGAACTCGCATGGGATACTCGCGCGTTGCTATACTTGCTACTCGATCCGCCGGCGACGGCCACATTATCCCTCGGAGAGGAGGGGGGGGGGGAGGCAGCACGAAAGCAGAACATACCGTTTTAACGCCCGGTAACAATAATTTTGACTAAGTGAAAAGGATAATATATTCTCCGCCTTAATAAAAAGCAGATATCATCTAATTATCGTCCGGCGAGGAGAATAGCTATAACAAAATTCATTTACGTCAAAATGATTAATTCGAAACGTTTCGACGCGAGAGGCCGCATACGAATTTTAGATTGTTTCAACATGGAAACGCGTACGCGCGAAGGTTTCCGAGCTATAGAACGAATATTTTTCATGTAGATCATTAATATAATTCATCGCGGATATCACGATAATGACTCATCATTTCAAAGACCGTAATACCGTAGAAAATTATCATTTCATATGTTTACGTATAAAGATATAATAATAAGAAAACCCATTACAAATATCGCAAGTACAAACGTCGTTTGTATAAAATTTTCATTTTTAATTTAATTTGCGTTTACATTTATCGCTCAAGCATTAGCAAATTGCACTTAAAATTTTTTTCACGTATTTCGCTACGACTTCGACGCATCGAGCAAGTCGAAAGCGAGAAGGACGAAAAAGGAGGAACCGCAGATAGCTGCGTGTCATTAATCAAGGCCCTCGAAGTGCACTAAATCACCCACGAGATATAAATTACCGCGGGCAATCTGGTATCAATAAGGCGTAATTCGGGATAATAGGGCGTGCGAGAGAGGGCGGACGCGCGGGAGGATATATAACTCCTGATTTCCGAGGGTGCTGTAGATTTCGATTAACCCGAGACCCGTTCGCCTGTCCGAGCCGAGTCGCGACATTTCTCTTCGTTACTCTCCTCTCGTCTCGAGCCTTCGATCCTTCGCCTTCGTATAAATGATTTAACAGACTGGCGTGTGTAGAAGCCAGCTGTTCTCTACCACGAATGCGAAAGCGACTATCACAGCGTAAGAAAACATCGAAATCACGAAAGCTAGTTCAGACGTTTGACCAATCATTCTTAGATATTTCAGAGAAGACTTGTTAAGTATTCGTCAATAAATTTTAAGAATTTATCTTAAGAATGAAGAATACTTATTAGGCATATAAAATAGAATCTCGCAGCGTGAAATTACACTTAATCTTTAATAAATCAAAGTTTATTCTTTTTCTTGTTAAATTGTTTGATAGGAAGATTCGATATTACTAAAATGTCAATTTGGATTTTAATTCAAGGGAAGAAAATTATTACTATTGCAACAGAAAGTGAATTGTAACTTCAAATGTAATATTTAGATCCGTCTACAAACAGGAGTAAAACATAGTCTTATTTAAATTATATTATTATGTGATATCACGTATTAATTATATATACAGTACCATTAAGTTAAATGGTTAAATTAATCCAACGTTTGATCCTATTTTGTAATTACCCTTGTATAATTACACTCGTTTGAGAATTCACAAAAAGCGCAGAATTGATCTCGATACGATACAATACGGTACTCCGATATGAACGAAGGAAACGGTGCAAGGCGTATGTAACATCCAAATCAAAGTACAGATTCGAAACGCTCCTCTTGTGTCGACAAATCGTGAGATTCGTCGGCGCGATATGACAAGCGGCGCGGTGCGGCGCGGCTAATTAGTTATCCTTGATACATCTGGCCGATGGATAATTAGCCGCTACGGTTTATACGCGCGATAACTCGCCGCGCGCGCGCACGTTCTCGACGACCCGCTGGGATTTGTTTCCGCCCGTGAAAACAATTTGTTTCTCATTCCATCGGAACCGAACCCCGTCATCATCGGCGCCAGAATGGGATAAACCCTTCCCTCTCGCGCCCGCTCCTCCCTTTCGACGTCTGTCCTCGTTCCTCCCGCTTCATTTCCTCGGCCCTATTACATCGTTATTAGGCTCGTAACAGACGTGTAAGCGTTCCGGGGAACACCCCACTGGGTTATTAATGGTGACTCTTTGTTTTTCGTATTCTCCACGCCCGATGGCCACGGTGTACTCTTTTTCTCTTCCTCTCTCTCTCTTCTTTTCTTCATCCCCTTCCCTCCCGCCTCTTCACTCTCAGCCGCCGTTCTGCTTATTGCCTTCTTCTATCACTCGTAACTCGGCTCTCTTTCTTCCTCTTGTTAAATAGGGATTTTTTTTCTACCTTTATCTCTCCGCTTCCGTTCCTCCCATGAACATCTTGAATAAATTAATGTAAGCGCGAGCATTAAGGTAGGTGTCAGGCATTCTGATGCGAATGAGCCTTTACCTCGCGTGGTGACAAATTGGTGCCACAGGTAAAGGAATACCCGTCGCGCCCCACGATACTCATGGCAAAGAGAGAGCAGTCGTCGAAAGGGCGTGCACGCGCTTCTCCACGTGGAAGAAAAGAAAAGTGTCGCGAGAACCTACCGCGGTAGAGATTTCGACGGTCGCCCCATCCTTGCCATATGTCTGTTTCAGTGCGCGTGCTACCGTTCATGTCGCCCGTTGCGGAATCCCCCATGAAATCTTTTCGATGAGATCTCAGATCTCTACCCTCGATCGCGGACAAAATTCTTATGGTTATGATTCCATGTATCTCATCTATTTATATTTCAGAATTAATTATACATTAATTTTCTTGTGCAAAGAGAAAGGGAAAAAGGAAATTGCTAAATCAAATCGATTAATCTAAATCTATCTCCACGATTTTCAAACGAGAATAAAATATGCAATCAAAGATAGGCAACCAAATCGAATAAATAAATCGATCTCTTTAAATCGATCATTCGGGTTCAGATTTTTTGTTTAATTTTAAAATATTTTATATATTATCTGTATGTATATAGTTAAATAAAAAGAAATATTTTTATATATTCTGACACTTATATCTTTTTCAATAATTAAGTTGACATATAAATTATTAACGCGAGTTATTATTGAATTTATTTCCTGTATCATTTGCCTACTTCGTTTCAGCCTACAAATGTTATCTACCGGTAATAAAATACCATCGTAATTTACCCAATCTCATATTTATCGACTATAAGTATTTGTTTATTATCGCACTATCAACATGATCAATAGAGATATATCTAACGATTGCCGCAACATTAATCCCCATGGTCATCGAATATGTCACTGACGGATAAATATACACCTACTAAATCGTCCCTTAATCATCACGCAATCACGAAGATACTTTCGTGCACTTTCTCAAACGGGAAGAACGCTCCATGAACGACTCACCTTCGCAAGTGAATTGTCCGTAATGTTTGCCGCTGCTTTTGTCCCCGCAGACGACGCACTCGATGTTCGGCGATTTATCCGTTTGCGAGCTGCCGGACTGCGAGCTGTTGGCTTGGCTGCCGGGGGTAGTGCTGGGTGGCAAGGGATCTCTCGAGGCCAAAACTGAGCCGGCGGGTACCAGACAGGTAATATCCTCCGGCGTAGCCGAGGGCGTCAGATGCGCGGGCGGCATCGGCGGCGGCGGACCTACTTGAAGGGGCCCGCCGCCGCCACCGCTACCGCCGCCGGCTGCGCCCAGGGCGGCCCCGGGGTCCCGCGAGGCCCAGGAGGGCGGCGGCGCGACCAACGCCATCGAGGCGGTGGTGCCGCGCGCCGGGAACCCCAGCTCCAACGTGGTGGTGAACTCGGGGTGGTGGTGTCCGGCTGGCACCCGGCCAGGGAACAACGTCGCCGTCGCGGCCGGGTAAACCACCCCGGCAGTCGCCAGGGCGTCCGCGCCTACCGTCCCGCCTCGAACCACCCTGCCGGTTTCCGACCCGTGAGACGCGATTCAACCGACGACGACGACGGGGCCGACTGTGGATTCAGCTCAGTCCGTTTCAGCCGGACAATTTCTCGAACTGAAGCAGTCTCTATTCTTGAGAAATGCAAAATCTTGGAGTACAGTCAATATCCTTGACAATTTAGACGTCAATTTGACGTTAATATATCAAATATCGCAGTTAGAAGTCACGTTTTATCTTCACTCACTTCTTCACTGTCCTGAACTTCTCGATAAATAACCCATAATCGCGAAACAAACTGTACGAGAGATATCCGACACCTATCATAGTTGCAGAGAATCACAGATAAACCGACGCGTCTGTTCTCCAATTATCGCTTGAATGCTTGAATTGTATACGTAAACACTTATCGATGATATCAAAGTCAAAGCCTCATTCTTTAACACGTTATTTTTCTTCTAAATTATTCTTTTTTATTTTTGGTTCTCCAATCTTCTTCAAATCTTCAACTCGATAGTCCTCTAGTTTTCCAAATCTTCAACTTCATAGTTCGAGATCCACAAAGAATCGAATCCTGTCCTGTATTTCTCGATCCTCATGAAGATATCGCACTTAATTGAAGATTATTGTTCCACGATTCCAATCGACTTTTCTATCACTCGCAGATTGCTTACGCTGCAACAATCACGAAATCACGTCGCAAGAACCGCCGGGTGCATGAACAACAATCACGGGTAACGATGTTAAATAGTAACGACCCTCACACTCGGTCATGCACTCTGAGGCACTTCACTTTTTTGCACGTGCACGTTGCGATTCCCCGAAAAGAAAGGGGAATCTCGCATTTTAAACACCACACTCGCACCGACACCGACCAAACTATCTCGATGACAATCGCCAACCCTTTGAGAGTCAAGACGACGATACACGAGAGCCGCCGATGGTAACAGAAAGGAGAGGGGGGGGGTAGACAAGTTTTAAAGATGAAACTGAAGCGGTTCAAAGCGATCGTGTCCTTCAGCACCGCTTGACATTTCGTGCTTTGGCGCGAATTGGAGTACACCTCCTTAGAGCTCCCTCATCCGTATCCACGAGCGTGTCTACGTATATTCCCGCGTGCGTACGTACGTGCGTGCGCGTATGCAGTCGATATATCGTACGGCCGTAAGCGACACTTGCGTTTGCGCGATGGTATGCGATGTATAAGTTTGCTCGCTAGCTCGTTCGCGTGCGCGTGTACTTCTCCGGATGCGTATTGCGCGATGGTATGCGTGATGGTGTCGTCCCTCCGTCGCGCGCTCGCAGCGCCGAGCATCAGCAACAGCAGCAACAGCAGCAGCAGCAGCAGCAGCAGCAACAGCA